CTGACTGCTCTACACACAGGTATACCACTACAGGAACTGTGCAAAACAGCTACCTGGTTTACACCATCAATGTTCGTACAGCATCACCAGCTTGATGTTAAAGCAAGACAGGACCACTCCTTTGGTCGTGCTGTCCTCTCCTCCATTCTTCAGTGATGACACCTCCCACCTCCTTTTCTGGTCAACTTGCTAATCACCCATGTGTGTGGTGCACAGATACTACAATGAGGAAAGTAAGCTTGCTTACCTGTAACTGTCATTCTTTAAGTGGTCATCTGTGTAGTCACACATCCTACCCGCTGGCCCCACATTGGTGTCATTGGTAACATCCCTATCTTCCATCTAAGTTATACAGTAGTCAGGGTTTGAGGGCAAATGTCGGTCTCCATGTGGACTGAGAAAATGGTAGGAGTCCCACCCCTCTCTAGTATAAATAGGCAAGGGAGGCAAAATGTTCTAGGCTTAGCTAGGAGAATCTTCCTGAACAGAGGCACTGCACAGGTGCAGCACCCATATGATTAATGCACAGATGACCACTTGAGGAATGACACAGGTAAGCAACCTGACTATCTAGGCTCATCTTTTGTGTTGATAAGGATTAAAAAGTACCAATCAGTTGCAGTCTACAACCACTTACACTGAACACAATGGAACTTTTTAGGATACGTGGGGATGTATCTAGCTGTGTCTGTCAGAAGAATGAAGTTGGTTGGCAAATTTGGGAATGGGCTGCAGGGTGTGGGGATGGGAAGAGAAACTACCCTTCCACAAGTTGAAGACTGCTCATGTATCATTGGATATGTTCTGTTAATAGGACTGAACTCTTAACAGCTTTTTAGGAATAGTAGTTAAAAAGAAATAGGTGAATTAAGTTATACAACTCACAGTTGGAGCAGTATTGCATTCAGTAACACCTGGGTGTAGAAAGAGAACTGCAACCAAGATCAGGAGCCAAACCAGCTTCGTGTTTAAAATCTGTCAATTTGCAACATTGGGTATATGTTAGCATTCAGATATTAGTTGTTACAGAGGTTCAATGTGATAAAAGTAAGTTTAAAGCTACTACTTACCTGTGGTCCCATCTGTGGCAAATTGTGAGCATAAAGGGTGTCAGAGTTTGCTTCCAAAGGCAAATGAATTCATAGGAGTCTTTGAACTGAATAAAACATGTAAAATGTGAACTATATATAGTTTGTGCCATAAGTCACCCCCCCCCCCCCGGCCTATTTGCTTGTCTGTCAGTATACAGGAGAGCAGGTTTACTTTGTGTTCTGACACTTAAAAGCTAGATGGTGAGGATCCATTTAGTCTTGAACTTGCAAAAACAAAGATAGTATGTATGCACTGGAGTTGTTTGGTCAGCTTCCATTCCCATATTTCAAAATAATGTTTGTTTTGAAAACTGGGATAGGAACTGTTGGAAAGCAAATTGATGAATAACAACAGTCAAATGTGGATCTGACATGCCTACATATTTACAAAATAAGTGTAGAGAATAAAGGAACAAAGCAGAAAGTTTCTCTAGGGGATTGCAGAATATGACTATTTGAGACATTGACATCAAGACATTTATTTGTGAGGCAAAATAAAGCTTATGTTTTGATTGAAATGTTCCCAAAGCATCCATACAGCATATTATCAAAATGGCCCAAAGGCAAAACAATGCCAAGTGTTTCTGTGAAGGTTGGCAAAGGCTTAAATGCTTGGTGGCTAGATTCGAACTTTGATTATGCTCACATGGGACAACTATGTTCAATGTGACTCATGTACAAATTGATACAGATCAGTCCAAGTGTCAAAGTGTAGTTCTTTCCAAATCTCTGTGCACTGCATTCAGTGGTGCACATTTTTGGGCCCTGATGGCCACATGTCATGCTGGAGCAGAGGCCGCATGTGTACATGCACATACATTCCAAAGATCCTGATACCGATTGTTCTTTTCATTCTGCTAGAAGAGGCAAAAAGGAGTGATTTCTGGAGTGGGGAATTGACTGTACAGGTGCCAGTCAACTGAGCAGCGGAAGGTCAGGGTTCCCCAAGCAGCAGGTGCAGGTGGTGCAGCCATATTGTAGGCCATAGAAACAAACTTTCTTGAAACAACCAAAAATATTCAGGAATCTACTTTTGTTTTTACTTTTCCCTTAGGTAGCAAGAGCCTATTTTGCTCATAAAACTCTATGAGGAAAGTTTATAGAAAATCCAGATAAATAGTGCCAATTGTGAACTGCTTTTACTGTTAAATTTTTTCTAAAAGCAGATTTAAGCTATTTTATCATGTTGGCTTTTGGCCTGGCCTATAAGTTCCTTCTGGACTTCCCTTAGCATTGGCTTGGTGATACTTTTTTGTGTTAAACAAGAATCAACATGCTGATCTTGCCTTCTAAACTCACTGCTGGAGTTTCAGATGCAGCTTCATTGTTTAAGAAGGAATGATGTGTTTAAGAAAAGGAAGTAAAAAGTAGTGCAGGCATTTTTCAATGCATCACTAAATTGGTGTAAGGAACACAATTTAGAAAGGACCAAAGGGAGCATGGCTCCTCCTGTGTTTTGAACTGGGCATGATTAATCTTCACAAGTGCCACTATACAGCTACCTCTTTTGTTACACACAGCAGTCACTGTTCATGATGAACTAAGTGGACTTGATTCCAGGTATGCATACAAACACACAAATCCTGCTCTTCATAAAAGAGTACCTGTTCTGTCTTAATAATACTGCTGTAGTTTTAATGACTTATACAAAGTAAGCACCACAAATGTTCTTTAAATATATTGCTTTAATCTTTACTTGTCAAATAGCATTTTTTTACATTTGCTCCCTGCCTCCACTGAGCTTGGAAAAAGCACTAATTTCATGTAAAACAGGTGCCATATCTCATCATGCTAATGAGGTTTGCATGTCTATTCTTTACAGAGAAAACTTCAGATTCATAAGGATAGAAATAAAAACACGGCATATTAGAAATGCTGGTGCAACCAGCCAGATAAAACCCACATTCTAATAGAATTTTATTGTGAAAGTAACTCTCAATCCCCTCTTATTCCTTATATATGTATTTTTAATCAAGTAAAAATCAAGCTTTCACAGTTATTACAGTAATGATTTTTTATAATTTCTACATTACTTTAAAATAATAAAGAATAGTTTTTAGAATTAAAACATTTGAAAGACATTATTTTCCAAAGATCCAAATATATGCAGTCACAAAGTTTAACGCATTCATGGCCAAATTCATAAAAATTTGAAGGCTAGACAATATTAAATCTATAAACCTAACACCGGGGGTATGAAAAAATGCATGTAATTGAGTTTCCAAACTATCTTACCTTCTTGTTTTTTATTCCAGCACATCATATGCCTACTTGTGTGTGTCCTCTAAAATGAAGGGATGAAAGGTGCAATGCTACTTCACTTGGCTTCAACCTTTGTACCTAGGTAGCAGGAAGGTAGTTAGTTTAAAATGAAAAAAGCAGGGCTTCACTAGCAAAAGATTGACTAGGTTGAGTAATTTCTTATGTTCCTCTATAAATTAATAGGCTTGCAGCCAATCAGAAGCCTCATGTCTTACATTATTATCTGAGCATGTTCATGAGAGTGGAAGATGGTGAGAAGAGCAAGTTAAACTATGAAGAGTTCCCATAAAGCATAGTTCTATTGCATACAGTGAGATAAGAGCTGAAGTTTACTTCATGTGGGTTATAGTTACTAATGTTAATACAAACATTGGTCTCAGCACCACAGTATATAAAACCTAGTTTTACATAGAAGAATGTGTATTCATTACTTTAGATCAAAAATGAGAAAGTTTTGACAACAGCTGTAGAGGCTAACAAAGCTATAGTATGAAGGTCTGGAACAGTATAAGGAAATGCTGCTCTTTTGGTCTTCCTCTTTACAATTTGCTACGTAAACCTGTCTATTGTTTTCCAGGCCTTAGAAAACGTAGAGTACAGAACAAAAAAACATGTTAGACCTGTTTGTATAACCCATGAGTATATATGGATTGATGGGTTTTAATCATAACTGTTGCCTACTCTTGCCCTTTTTTATAGCCAGCTCTTTCTGTGGAATCAGCTATCTTGCAGAATGGAAACTAAATGGGGAGGGGTTACGCACATTAACTTCTATGTATGTAGGTTTTGTTCATAATTAATTGGGACAGTCAGAAGCAGGTTTAATAGGTGCAATCCTGAACCCCCTGCACACTTTCACTGCTCATGTGAAAAGATCTATTTTTGGGAACCGAAGAGTTTTCTAGAATCTAAAATACAGATTTTTTAATGATAAGTTTTAATTTTAAATCAATTATGTGATATCTTGTTTAGGCTGAACAAATATTTCAGTTAATGACTAAAGTGATCTTTTTCTGTTTTCTGGAGAAAAATTGATCAAGTTAAAGTTAGTTCCCTGACACTTGGGTTTCAGATAGTCCACTTTGGTTACAATAAGCCTTGTCATCAACTTTTTTCCCATAGAAAAGTACTTCTCCTTTCCTTCACCCTGGAATTTTGTAGAAAAGAGAATTTCAGTGACTTCCCAATTTCTTCTTAAACATTCATAGTACTACTGGCATAGGTGAGAAGATGGGCAGCAGCAATGATGTGAGGAATGTTTAATAGGAATATCTCCATGTACTTGTAGCACCTGTCACAACCAATAGCTGCTAGGGCAACCTGGATACTTTTGTACATATAACTGACAGGCTTTTTGTGAAAATTGTTTTCAGAGCAGGAAAGACAACTGAACAGGTTCCTGGGAATAGATATTAATGCAGGTTATTTTATGATTTTTCTACCATTCTGTCTTTTTATATTTTGTATCCTATACCCTGTGGTTTTTATGCTATTTCTGTTTTGTTCCTACTTTTTTCTTTAAATTGTTTTAACTGTCTTTGGCATGAAGGTCAACAGTCTATTTGTCAAAATGAATTTGTGGAATTGAATTAAAAACAGATAAGCAGGCTGAATCTGGCTTAGGAAATATTTGTTCTTGTGATGCAGCAAAGAAAAGCTAATTCAAGCTGTGGAAAATGACATCCAAGAAGAAAAGCAGGCAGCAGAAAACATAATTAAAAATATGTCTGAAGAGGATCAAACTAAATACATGGAGACAAAAGTGGCAAATGAAAAACTCTTGCAGGTGACTTTTCATATTATTGGTCTTGTATTACTTCTCAATATGCCCCATCCTGGTCATAGCTTTCATAAAAATAAAAATAAGTTTTTTGGACAGGAGGTTAAACCCCATATACCAACATTAAAATTGGAAAGTAAAAATACCAAGCAGCCTTTATCAAGCAAATCTAAGCAAATTTCTCAGTTTTCAAAGGGAGAGTTGAACACATGATTAAGTTTCTCCCATGGAAACCATGGTTATGGATTCCTCCAGCCAGAGCCCCACAAGCACTTGCTCCAAGCTGCTGGGAAAGCTTTCATAGTGGCTTTGGGTGCAGGTTCAGAAGGGAAGCGGGAAATCACATATAGTCCCCTTTTCATTCTTCTTGGGGAAGGATACATGGATACAAGACTTTTAACAAAGAAATCACTATGATTTTTTACTTATAGATTAGAAAATTTATAAACACTACTTTCAAGGTGAACAATAAAGTACAGAATAAATGTTAAAGTTATCATTAAAACTCGCTAATTAAAAATGCAACCAGTAAAGGTAAATACAAGTTAAAGTGTATCCATAGCAACGAATTAGCTGCCCCTCTGTTTTTGGTTACCTGCCATCAAGTAATCTCTGACTTAGGGTGACTTACGAATACGTCCTCCAAAATGTCCCTTCCTTGACAACCTGCTTAGCTCTTGTAAAATCAAGGCTGTGCCTTCGTTTATAGAATTGATCCTTCTTTGACTTGGTCTTACTCTTCCTATTCTGCCTTCAGCTTCCTCTATTGTCCTGACCAGTGACTCTTGGCTTCTAATGATGTGCTGAAAGTATGACAGCTTCAGTTTTGTCATATTTACTTCCAGGAGAAGCTCTGTCTTGATTTGATCTCGGACCTACTTGTTTCTCTTTCAGTTAGTATTCAGAAAGCTTTCATCCAGCAGCTTGCATTAAATGCATCCATTTCTTTCCTGCCAGCTTTATTCACTATCCAGCTTCTACACCCATACATAGGATGGGTGCAGAACCATCCTGTGGTTTGCAGTGAAACATCCTTATATTTATTCATTTACTTCATGCCATTTCTATGCCACCCCATAACCTGAAGGTTCTCTGCGGGGGGGGGGGGGTGTACAAATGCTAAAACAGCATAAAAACATGTGATCATCTTTAGTTCCTTCATTGCTACCTTTCCAAATCACAGTCATCTTTGAATTTCTTGGCCGTAGTCTCCATATGCATTGATGACTGAGCCAGTGTAGGCAAAATAACTCACAATCTCAGTTCCATCAACTTTCCCTCCTTCTTCTGATCCTAGTCCACTTGTCTCTATGATATATTCTGTATACAAATTGAACAGATAGGGAGATAAAATATTTTATTTGTTTGTTTGTTTGTTTGTTTGGGATCTTTCTAGGCCACTCAATCACACTGAGTCTCTGGACGGCTCACAACAAAATCAATAAATACAACAGTAAAAATATAAATATCGTAAATACCCCAACAATAATAAAACTAAATAACCCATGTCTGAAATAAAAATAATTAAAATCTATTAAACATTAAAATATTGGGTAAAATATTGGGTAAACAAAAAATGCATGCTTGTCTGATGCCTTTGCCTATAGGAAACCATTCTGTTTCTCCATGTTCTGTCCTAAAAGTAGCTTTTTTTCTGTGATACAGGACAAGACAAATCAAAGGCTGAGGCACACCCACTTGTTTCAGGACAACTCACAGCTTCTCATAATTCACAAAGGTTTTTCCACAGTCTCTGAAACATAGACTGATCTTCAGAAATTCTTTGGTGTGTTCCAGTAGCCAGCATATATTTGCAATATGATCTGAAGTTTCTGGAATCCAGTTTCACTATCAGGCATTTATCACTCCATATAGGGTAAAATTCTTTGTTGTAACACCTTGAACATCATCTTGCTTATATGGGAAATTATTACTTTGCATGGGAGAATATTATTTGCTAATATTGCAGGTTCCTCTCATAGGATCACTCTTAAAAGGAGTCTGTTAACTTTTTATCTCTTTTGTATAATTCTTCCATATTTACAGCATTCCAAACTTAAGTTTTAATTTCCCTTTGAATTCTTGGCTCTTCATGGGGAAAAAAAAATCTCTTTTTTCCCTCATTTGTTTGTTTCCATTGGGCATTGTAATAGTTCTTTTTGTCTCTGTGAAAGTCACTGAAAACTTGCATTCAGGTCTCTGACCCTATTTCTGTCCCCTTTTGCTTCTTTCTTGTCCTTAGCAATTGTGAGAAATTCTTCTGTCATCCAGCGAGGCGTTTTCTTTGCTTTTGTTATAGAAATTGTCTTTTGGCATTCTTCTCTAATAATTTCTCTGGTTTGTCCTAGCTTATAGTCCATAGAATGATGCAAATCTGTTCTTTATACAGTCTTTAAATTCCTCAAGAATGTTATTTTACCTTGAATTTTGGCATTATGTTTCTGTTTTTGATCTTTTTTGTGATTTTTATATTAATATGATAATTTTATATTCTATGATCACTACTGCAATCTGCTCTTGGTCTTGTTTTGACAATGAGTATATAGCTTCTTCATCTCCCACTTCCAGTTTCCAGTCTGGTGAAATCCAAGTATGCAATCATCTGATTGGTTGCTTGATGTATTTGCCCAAAAAAAAAAAAAAAAAAAAAAAGATTATTGGCTTCACATAATTCTATGGGTTATTCTCCTGCTTCATTTCTGAACCCTAGGCCTGACTGACGGCAGGTCTTTTGATAAGTTTCTGAAAATTTTGATTGATACAATTCAGTCAGACTCTCCATGATAGCTCCTTATGGCTTGTGCTACATCTTGCATCAGTACAAGAGTCGCTGCACTTCTTCTCAGTTTGTAATTTCTGGAGTAAAACATTTTATGTTCATATGACTGAAAATGTCCTATTCCAGTCTATCTTAGTTTGCTTTCCCATGCACTGCAATGCCTAAATGTTCTATTTCTTGTTTTATGGTTTCCAGTTTTCCTTGATTCATATTCATCCAGCCCCATCACCATTAGTGACACTTACTTTCTTCTGCTGATGGTAACCCTTTCTCCTGAAGAGGCTGGATACATCTTATTCTGGTATCTCTGACCATTCTGCCTTTGGTGACCCTACTAGAAGACCAAACTAGTGAGAGAGTATGGTCTCCTAACTCCATTTGCTAGTGGCTTATCTGTCACTATCAAACACCCTCACTACATTAAGGCATGCATTGAACAAGAGTTAGCAGCACCTACAAGGCTAAAAGTTTTAATTCTGCAGCTAATCTGCTTAGATACCAAGAACTTACATGCAAGCTGCTGGAAGGATAATAGAGACGGGGAGAGGCCAAAGCTTAGGAAAACCAACCAAGAAAGACTTCTCTTGTGTTCTCACCATGTGTGCTTTTGATAGTTGTGAGACCATGACAAAGGCCTCTTCTCAGTATCTTAAAACTCAGACAAGCTCAATAGTCTGAATTAATGGTTTGCTTAACTTTGCATAAGTAGTAATGGAGTTTGTAAAGTTTTATAGTTTTATTTCTTATATTAGACTTTTTCCTACAAATGTTTTATATTTGCAGGAACCCAGTAAAGATAATTTAAGCTAAGAAAGTTCTCAAGAAAATCCAGTAAGCTTCACACCTGATTGGCAGGTTAAACCAGCATTTCCCACATTCAAACCCCATATTCTAGCCACTGTACCAAAAATGTTCATATTCCTAGTATTTGGATTCCTTTTCTTAACCTCTCTAGTGGCTGAAAGTCTCCAAATGCAGGTTATTCCTTCTGTTTGGGTACTTGAGAAGCAAGATTAGATCACACTTTGCATTTTGTAGGATAATGTCGTCTTGACTGTATTATAAAGCATCAAGCTCCAAAAGGAGGTATTCTTTCTACTTTCTAGACATACAGTCTTAACAGCTTTCATTAACTGTGCATAAATATTTCCTCTCCTAGGATTTGTGTACTTTCCAACAAGAGCTGGATGCTGTGAACATGAAAGAACAAGCTTTAGAGGCTGTATGTATGACATTAAATTATTCTCTTCTCAAGCTGATTACAAACTACGTGAAAATTGAGAGTGATTGGAATCTGATGACTCTTAAAAAGTTGCCTTGAATGTTTTTGCTAAATACGTCAAAAATAAATGGCCAAAATTCCATGCTCTCATTATTGTTGCTTTATTTATTTATGCTGGACACAGAATGTCTTGATTGTCATTATAGCCTGGGACTTTGTTACTCCGTTATTGTTTGTTAATCCTGTTACCAGGCTGATTTCTACCACCATTCTCTTTGGCCACTGTTTTTTATGATCATTCACATCATGCCAGAACTTTGGGAACGGAAGCTATGAGAGGAGCAGAGAAATCAGCAGGACCGGTAAAAGAGAATAGGGAAGACCTTGATGAGCCAATGGAAGAATACCCTGAGCCCTGCATAAACCACACCTGCCTAAATTCATCTATAGTTTTAGCTTTTGAGTTTAGCTGTGCAATATAGGAAAAGTGAATAACTTGCCAGTGTTCTTGCTTTTTTCCACAAGTTTGGTAGTCTCAGAGTAGAAGGTAAGTTTATTGCATGAGCACATAAATTTTAAATGCTCAAGTAAAGTTCTGTGGTATTAAGTTTGAATATTTATATATCATCTGCAATTCTAAGAAGGATTTTTCCCCTTTCAACCCTATAATAAAAATGTGCTGAATATGTAGAAACCTCAGAAGCTTCAGAAGGTTGGAGATTATAAAGTTTCTTTCACAGGCTAATTTTCACACACAAATGGGAAAACTTAATTTGACTGCTTTATCATCATCTGGTAGTTTCAATACAAGAATGTTTATTGATGTTATAATGCAAAATCTTTTTGACCTGAAATTGGGAAATTCTGACCCACAATCTGGATATAGTCCTTGGGGCTCTTGCAACTACACAAGTTATCCTTGAAAATAGATTTTCACTGATACCAAAAATTTTTTTGTCAAGGATAATTATAGCGTAAGGACAAGGGGCTATCATAGCTAGAGATAGAAGTGTTAACTCTCCCCTCCCCGCATACTGTAACCTTAGCCCCCAAAATCACACAATTACATTTTTAAATGCTCTCTTATTTGGCAGCAAAACAGATCTTTTCAAGACTATTTTCTGTGCTATGAGTGATTTGGGGGCACAGCTGGAGGTCCTATCTAGTCAGGTTTGAGAAAAGCTTCCCATTTGTGTAAGTGGAAGGATGGGGGCATCTTTATATGTGAGTATGTGTATGTGTGTGTGTGTCTAGGATGGTGGGGGGACCCTGCCAATTTTTTGTAGTGACCCTAAACCACTGGCATGTAGCCTTGAAATAGTTTTCTACAAGAAATTGCATCTCTTGGGCTGAAAAATGTTTCCTGCCACCTAAAATTAGCTAACTGCTCCATTAGATTAGCTAACTGACAAAATGTTTGTAATGGTAGAGATTTCTTCAATCATGGTTTTCTTTCTTCAGGAAATAGCACATTCCCAGGTTAAACAAGAGGCCCTACAGCTGTATGAAAAGCTTCACAGCCTTGAAGAACATCGGAATCAAATGATTGCAGAGGACAAGAGTATGGGATCTCCCCAGGAGGAGAGAGAGAGGTTGCTAAAACAGGTAGGCAAAAAAAAAAGATGTCAGAGAAAAATTATATTCCATACCATTTTTAAAGGAAGTTTTACAAGTGAAGATATATATTCAGGGTTACTATGAAAGAGCCACATTTTATTTACTAGTTTTTAATCATTTTAATTTTTACCCACCTTAATTCATCCATAAAGTCAGTCATTAAAGCATTGCCCGCATGTGCCTTTGGCCATCAGTGACATTGGTTGGACTGGATTGTCTAGCCTTTTGACCTTTCCCAGCGGAGAGTTCACCTGGTTGTTGGACTGAATGCTGCCTTGTGGATGGGGAAACTTCTCCATTATATGGGCAAGGTGTATGTGGCAAGACTGTTGGAGCAATATAGTTTAGGTGTGCCATAGGGAAATAAGGGAGACGGTTTGCCAGTTAAACATTACTGCATGTGTACAACCTTGCTTACCTGTCTGGGACACTTTATCCTGACACTGTGTTGTTGGAGTAGAGATTGTTGTTTTTATTTTATTTATTTATTAAAACATTTTTATGCCGCCCCATTTGCCGAAGTTATTGGGTCCATATTTATTTAAACTACTTGTGTATCACTTCATGTCCTGAAATCTCTGTACGATTTACATTAAAATACATAAAGTACACTATAAAACCAATATAGAAAAGTAAATACATTAAAAACATTACAAGAACAGTAGAAAAGAGCAGTATAGTTGCAAGGCATAGCTAAGGTCAGGCTCTTGTTAGGATACTTGAGAGGCAGGAAAAAGTCGCATTTTGCTGAAGCCATGCTGTTTCTTGCAAAGCTCTCCCTTTGTGTGCAAATTGCCTTTTTTCCCATAGTTACCCTCACCAGAGTTCTCCCTTGTCATCTTTAAGTATGCACAGAATTGGACTACACAGCTATAGCTTGATGCTACTTAGCCTCTCATCCAATTTCTCCTCGTTCTTAGTGGAGTTTATATACTGGCAGCACTGTACTGATTGAGTGTTGTGCAATTCCACCTCCTCATGTTAAAAGATTTGTTGAATAACGTTATCAGATATTAAGTTTTATCTATATGGTCACTTACATTTTTTGATTGCTTTTATTCTTGTATTATGTATTGCTGCTATTATTGCCATTGTTGGTGGATGTTATGTCCCAATGAATGTTATTGCCATTTTGGTAATGTAAGAATATTTGTTTTAGTTTGTATTTAGACTGTTTTAATCCTTGTATGCCATTCTGAGAGCTATTGCTAATTGAACGCTTTATAAAAAAAATTAAGTAAGTGAATATTTCCCAGAACATAGGAACATACCATCAAACATCCAAAAGCTAGCCAATACGTGTACAAAGGCCAGCATGGCTGAGCTTCACAATGACAAGGTAGATCAAATTTTACAAAATATGAGTGGTCTGAGGAAGAGAACTACTGCCATTAGCAAGTAGTACTCCTATTACAAGTGAATAAGGCACTGTAATGGCAAAAAAAAAAAAAAAAAAAACAGGTAGAGAGAAAGCAAGGCAAGCTGTGTCATATGCAAAGACAGAGAATGGATTGGGGCGGAGGAGCCAGAACAGAGGAACTAGGCAAAAGGCTGATCAAATGTTCCCTGTCTCACCCTGGGAAGAACAGCAGACATAACCAATGTGGAAGCCTTATTGTTCAGATGGGGAATGTTACATAGGTGGAGCTGCTTACCTAACTGCAGGGCTGGTTTAAAACACATATTCAGAGGGAGATGATAAATTGTTAGCAAAGCTCCAGTGTGAACATGCAATGCATTATTCTACTGTATAGATTTCCAACATGACTACATTTTCTCTAACAAAATAAGTATTATACAAGTGGCATCAATCAATTCTGTTTCTAGAGCTGTGCCTCCATTCTTATTATTCTTAGCACAAGAAAATAATGTATTTGTATCTCACAGATTTTTTGCAAAGGCCAACATTCCTTAGTTTTCTGTTTTTATTGTTTTCTCTTTTCCTTTTTTTCAGGTAAAAGAAGACAATCAGGAAATAGCAAGCATGGAAAGACAGTGAGTGCTTTTCCATATTGTTCTTTTAGGCCTTGATTCTGTTACCTGGTATTTGAATGCAATTTCATAACCCATTTCTAAGGGACTGATCAAATCATGTATCAATGGTGTAACACAGTTGCTTAGCCATTACATAAAGAAGGGTTCTGCTGTTTAGGAAGGCCTGCTGAAACATTTCTAGAGTATGAGATTTAGAATACAACTGGAATTGGTATATCTGATGACTTGAATTAGAGTGCAAAGACCAGGGTGGGAGGTAAGCCCCAAAGCCCAATGATCTACCAGGTTTTCCCCATAGCTTGTGAAACTTGTAACTATCTCATGGCCTTATCATTCCATGGGAAAAAGAATGGAAGAGGGTTAGGGAAGGTTTAATTTCATTGTTCTATTATTTTTTCTATACAATACTCAAAACTCTCTAGGCAGTTAACAAGAACTACAACCTAAAATGCAGCATAATAAAAGCAAAATATTAATATTTCATCTTACAAAATTTAAAACAGCTAAAAAATTAATGACATTAAAATTTGACTTGAAATTCCTAAGATGGCTGAGAATAGAGCAAGGTCTCAGTCCGGCACCAAAAAGATGACAATTTCGTGCCTGCCAGACCTCAGTGTGGAGAGCATTCTACAGTTGGAATATCACCAAGAGTGCCTTCTCTCTTGTTGCCATTCTCTGAGGAGGAGGACTTCAGGTGTTGATCATAATATCAGAAGTTTGTTTCAAGAGAAGCTCTCTGGCAAGTATTCCTCAGTAGATCAGTTTTGGAAGAAGGGCACCTATCCGCTTGCTGTAATAGTGGTCAGAGAAGAGAAAAGAAAAGCTCTTGCCTGAGTAAAACACTGCATTTGTATATGTCATCTGGGTTACTTTGATTAAATGTGTTGTTCATTCTACAGTCAGCTCTAAAATGCATACATTTAATGTACATTATAGTTTAAATCATCATGCACTGTTCTATTAATAATGGGTATTCTTGTAAAGCTGTTTAACATCCTGTAGGGGGAGCCATTTGTTAACAGAAACAAAGCAAGGTTACTTCTCTTTCCCTCAAAAATTAAACCTACATAGGCCGGTTAGTTCTAGAATAGTAAGAAGGTAAGAGATGTTAGAGCATTAGTATTGCATCAATTAAATAATATATCTATTTCACTACCATTTCATATTTTCTTCCTAAAATAGCTTGCCCAAAGCTTTTCAAATTTAGTTTTCAGCATCCAGTTTTTGCATTGCTTTAGGCTGACTGACATAAAAGAAAAGATCAACCATCTTAATGAAGGAATACGACAACTTGACATGGATCTAGAGGAACAGCAAGGTAAATAAAACTCAAATACTGGGTATGTCAAAAATTTATTTAAATTTCCTGCCTATAATTAATCTGTCTGATTCAGAAGTGAATTACTGCCCTCCATCCCGCATTTACTTAGGATGCATATACTTAGGGTTTACATTAAAATGTGTTCACATAACACAAAAATCTGCTGGTGGCAGGATATTTCTTTTTGTCTTAAACTATTTCAAGTGTAAGTTAAAAGTGAATATGTGATTTTTGCAAATCATATATGTACTTATGTTACATATTGTTTTTAATATCTGGCCTTTTAGTGGCTTAGAAGTATTGGTTAGTCCATTTGCAAAAATTTAATTCTCTAGATATGTATTATCAGTCTTTAGTATCATATTTAACTGCATGGAAAAACCTTTTGGAATTGGCAGTGTGAATAATTCTAAGATATTTGGAGTGAATATTCTATGGACTTATTGCCTGAGTGTAGTAGCCCCTCACAGTAATTACTCTGTTAAGAAATTATATAATGTTGCTCTTCTGTCTGAATTGCAAGCTTGTTACATTAATCACTACTTTATTTTTGGTCTCTCCATAATAGTCCTGTCATTCTTATCATTCTGCTTTTGTCTTTTATCTTTGCATATTGTTTTTACATTATTTTCTTCTATCATATGGATGACTAGATGGTAAGGAATTTATTACTTTGTTGTTTATAGTGTATCACCAAAAGCTTAGCAGCTTGGACTTTAGTCTGTTTTATTTCTTGTGGCAGCACTGCCATGTTCGGACATCCTCCCACATATTGTGAACTCATTCACTCCTGCTTAGCTCCTCCTCTTAGCAGAAACAGGTAAACAAGCCAGCAACCTTCTGCCCATAGGTAGTTCAGTCTAATTCATGACCCAGGATCTATACCTTGTTCCTAATAAGCCAGAGTCATAAGCCAGGGTTTTTTCTTTGCTTGATGAGGAAACTAAAAACCATAGATTCTGGCTTAGGTGGCATAATAACAAACCTCCAGTAGAAAGACACTGGCTTGTTTAGCTGCTCCTGCTGATGGGAAAGACAAGTAGGGGCGATGGAAAAGCATACACAAGCACAATTGCTCAGCCTAAAAAGTTCTAGCTTATCATAACTTAAGATTTCAGCCAGAATTAATTAACAGTATTTAATGATAATAAAATAATGCAGTACATACTTTCAGTTTTTGAAATAGCACTGATTTATCTGACAATCTAAATTTGTCTAAATTTACATGGGAAAATGAATCTTTTTTAGAAATTGCTTTAAAAAATAATTCATTCAGATTTTTCAAATAAAAAATTGCAGACTGGTTGTTTCTCTGCAGCCAGATATGTGGTGCTTTTATATTTTTCCTTAACATTTGTATAGATCTTTCCTTTTGATAAATCATAATTCTTACCCAATAACTGAGAGTAAGCAACAAATGTCTAGGGAAAGGTAGCAGTTTCTATGAATTCATTGTGATGTATAAACTTTAATAACCACATCTCATCTAAATCATTATAATATAATGTTTGAATGGTATGAGATTTGTTTCAGTGCAGACCAAAAGAGCTATACAGCTAGTTCTATACACACAATTGGTCTTTGCAATAATATTTCTGTCTTCCATGAGACAGGACAAGCCTTTCTTCAAACTGTAGAATATTTCACAGGTAGTTTTTGATTCAGGGTCAGGAACAAGCCGTCCCATTCTTGCCTAGAATTCAGGTATATCTTGCAGTAAGTGTTCTACAAATATCATCACTATTTATGTATTATGTAATTGTTCTGGTTCATACAACACTTAGCTAATTTACAAGATTCACTGTCACAGATTATGGTGATGGCCATTAACCAAGATTTTTTTTAAAGGGGAGGGTTAAACAAATTGATGGAGAATGAGTCTATTAGTGGCTATAAACCATGATAATTAAATGGAATCTCCAAGTTGAGGAACGCTATCTCTGTACATCAAATGCTACACAAAAGGTTTTTGCCCCCATGCCCTGTTTATACAAGGCTTCCTAGCAGATCAGGGCTAACCCAAGACATCTTGCTGCCTGAGCCAAAGACACAATGGCACTTCCTTCTTTGTACCATGTTTCTGACTGGCAGTTAAACTTTATTTCAGATACCGGAAAGCACACTTGAAGGTGGCAGTTTCACTTAGGCCTTTTGGCATATGCAGCTCTGTCTGCAAGCACCTCAGTGCTACTCCCAGTGTTTGCTGCCTGAGTTGGCCAGCTGACTTTTCCTACCTGTCTGGTATAGCCAGGCTGTTGCATTTTTAATGCCTACAAGCCACATTGTTCCTTACCGAATTCAGCCTAATCTGGAAGTTCTGCCAGCTGTAGGATGTATTTTGGCTTCTATTGCAAATGGATAAATTCTTGTTTTATTATTTTAATACAGTTTATTGACATAGTTACAAAAACATATAAACAGTAGTATATCCAACAGTCCATCACCTGATTAAATAGTGTGTTCTGTCTGAGTTACAATATGTGAATTCCTTATTGTTACTGTGGTTTATCTTAAAACATATATTTGGCTCCAAGATCCATCTGACACATACTCTGACAATCTAGAAAAGTATCTGTGGTACTCTGAAAAGTGGATTGTTCAGTTCGGTACTGTCATGCCTTCCTGTATAGCCATGAAAAGGAGAGTCAGCACGGGACAGGAGCACTCACAGCTGCAAGGAAGTTCAAGGAAAATCATTGTCTCCTGAAGCCACTGCACATGTTTATAATTTGTATGTGCTAGATATTAAACCAAAGGGGGGATGTTGGTTTAATATGGAAGGCAAAGGGGGATGGTGGGATTCACAACTCTAATTCATGTAGCTTATCATTTCGATAATGGATTTATCTTTTTGCAGGTCAGACAGCTAGTTACTTGTGTTTGTTTGTTTTAAAAATGGAATCTGCCTTATTCCTACAATATCATCATGAGTAACAGCAATCAGAAGTTATGTGAACCCCCCCAAGGAACTTGTATGGGGCAGTAATATCAGTTCAATAAATGAAATTAATAAATGAGACAATAAATAAAGATGCATATGACTAAATAAATGGTGCATATAAGGAATATCTCCCACCCCATACGAAGTCCTGAATATCTGAATATAAATACAAGAGAATAAAGAAAACTGGCAATGTCTATGCTTGGACGAAAGTCACTTCTAAAAAATCTACCAAAACAAATCAGAGAACAAAGAACACTCTGTGAGATTGCACAGTGAACATTCCCAAGGTATAGGATTGGGTCCCCTGCAGTGTTAGTCCAAAGGAAACTCCCTGACTCCTACCCCATGTCCCTATATCCCCCCACTCCAGGACTTTCTTTGATCAGTTTTTATACCAAATTACAAAAGATGTAAATGATGCACACACACACTTATGTTAATGTTGTCATATGTCAATCAACTCAGAAACAGTGAATAGTGGCAAACTGCAGAATAGAGGGCAGGCAGAATTCCAGGTATATCTAGTGAATGTTTTGCTTATTTGAAACAAAGAAATTGAAATAATAGGCATCTGCAATGCACTTCAGGCCTTTTTAATCTACTACTTTAAAGCCACAGTTCTGAGAAGTTGGCTAGGGCATGCTGGGATTTGGAGGCATTTTTTCTGTCCAAACTTACATAGGATCATGTCCTAAATAACTGAAATTATTAGTTATTTAATTTTAAGTGTTATTTATTGTAGGGGAGAAAAACCTAAAATACAAGGAATTGAAGAAGAGAGAAGAGAGCATGGATAGTAAGTAGTTACATATGCATGTATTGTGGGACATACTCTTAAAATGCAACAGTCCATAGGCAAAACCATTCCATTTTTATTAACAGAGTAATCCTAGACAAATCTGCTCAAAAGTAAATCCCTTTGAGTTCCATGGGGCTTACTCCTAGGTAAGCTTGTATAGATATCATTCTCAGTCATATAGTTCAGACATTAGTCTTAATTAAGCAGTTTTACCTGAAGATGTTTTGCCATTTGCTTCTTGGCTTTGCAGTAATATACTGAGTGAAAAAAATACATAGTTATTTGGGGCCTTTGAATTATCAGTCAGGGCACCTCACCTGCTTCTTAGCTTGTATTCAGAACTTTAGACAATGTAATTTTGGAAAACATATAGTAAATGTGAAAGCTTAAATAAAAAAGATATGTCTAGACATGTTGAATGTAAAGGAAATGAAAACAATTCTGAAGACTGTGAAGATCAAAGAATAGCTCATTTTAACTTCCAAGTATTTCTTAAGATATTTCATGTACAAGTCCATTTGTAGATTGTAACTCTTCTAGGAGAAAGCATACTCTCAAAAGCGAATTAAATAAAGAAGGTGTCCAATATACTTTGAACTCTGTTGTTGACTTAGTAGCTGCCTTGAGCATGCGGGAATTCTGATGTACATGTCAAACTCCTCTGCAAGCCTCAGCAGAGATGCAGAAACTCAGGCCCAGGGGCCAAAGCTAGCATTCAAGGAAGCCCAGTTGTGCCATCCAGAGTCCTTCAGATGGCCTTGCCCCTTTCCTCCAACCATTTGTTGGTTTTCTAGCAGTTTTTTCCCTCATTGTAAATAGTTGCAGTGCCTCCTATGACTTTATGTGTAACTGGCAATAGAAACTTTAAGATGAAATATGGTTATTTGTATCCCCCCTCCCATTTTGCCTTTGGCCCTGCCCACCACTGGATTATGGCCCCTAAATATTTCTCTAAAATGGAAATCACCCCTCACACTGAAAGAAGCCTTGTACTTCTAAGCTAGAGCTTCCCATTTACTTCAGCATCAGAGATAGCATTCATTGCACCCAGACAGATAACACCCAATACGTGGAAGTTTTGCTCCTGCAAGCACATGGAGCTTTGAACCATAGTAATGGGAGAGGCAACCTAGTGCCTTCCAGATGTTTTGGACTATAATCCTCATATGTGTATTTTATTTGATGTTGTGAGCCGCCCCGAGGCTTCGGCAAGGGGCGGCATAGAAATGTTTTAATAAATAAATAAATAAATAAATAAATAACCCATGTCGCTTGGCTCAGTGCTTGCAGGATCTGTGATCCGCAGCATTTGGAAGGCACCTGATAAGTCATCAATAATATAGGCAAACTCAATAAAGTTTTCAGACACTGTAGGTGAAATGTGTATACATGACTTGATGAAGAAAAAAGAAACCTTGTATTTAAGTTGATGAAACAGTGCTGTAGGACTCTTTTGGGGTACTTCTTTGCAAGTACAAAATGTTCCCTAATTTATAGAAACAAAAAAGATAGCGGCAGTATTTGTGAATTTTTATGGAAGCATTGAATGGCCTTTGGGCACCAACTCTCATTGCTGAATCACCACGTCTGTATTAAAAAGTCAATTCAATCCAGGAAAACTGGTGCACATTCTAGTACTTCATAGAAACTATCTCTTTTAAATTACTTTGTGTATAAGTTTTATTTTGTTTTAGTTAAATTGCTTTCAATTTCCTTATATTTCTTAGTTTGTTTTTAAATAGAAAATACTATACTTGGTTTTTAAATAGAAAATAACATTTCAGAAATAATTTGGTGTTCCTTTTATAAACAACAGCCTCCTTTATCTTGTTTTTTAATCTTTAGACTTTCTTGAAACTTTTGAAGAGACGAAGAACCAGGAACTTGAACGGAAAACACAGATAGAAGCCAATATTGTGGCACTTTTAGAGCACTCAAGCAGGGTAAGTGGCTTTGGCTCCGATCCTAAGCACAGTTCTTAGAAATAAGCCCCTCTGATTTTACTACTATTAACCAAATATGTATTCATCTCTTTATCCCTTTTTGATAAAATAGGCATTTTAACTTATTTTTAACTAAGACTGAAGAGCTGCTAGCCACAGTTACTAATATCTTCAGAAAGATAAAGCCATTGAGTAATAATACATGTAGTTTTTATTCTTTACTTTAGAAAGCAAATCAATGTTATGCTACAAAGGCTGAGAGAGGAAGGGATTAGGGTTTACACATTAAAATACTGTCTTGTACTACAATGCCTTGCAGAATTATTCAGGCCCCTTTGACTTTCCCATATTTAATTGTGTTACAATATAGAATTGAAGTTTATTTAATTGGCATTGTCATCACTTGTCACACACAATAAAAATATTTTGCAGCTTCCTGAAGTTGCATATCTTGCTTATATCAACATGTTTAAAGTTAAAGAAGGGTCAATATTTCTGCAAGGCATTGTAGCTCCTCGGCTCTTTTATTCCTTGAGCCAATGCAGAGATAATGCAGGCTTCCTGTTAATTGCAGCTTACACTCAGCCATGGAAATATGTGCTCCATGAACTCACTTCAAAGTTCTCTTCCCTCAGGCAAATTTCTTCACCTGCTTTATCCCATTCAGATCATAGTTCCTAATTAAAAGAGAAACCTGGTTAACACTTAACTTTGGTTAGTGGCATTGCCAGCATACCACTTAGGAGTGGTTAAGGCAGATAGGAAATGCTCCAGGCAGAAAGGAGTTGCATTCAAAAGGCTAGATTCCACATTTTAGTAACCATTACATTTGCTCCAACTTCTTTTTGCATTTAACTTCCCTTAACTTCCCTTTTCTGCTTTCTTTCACATACAGATTCATCCTTGTTCTTTCCTCTGACATCTCCCGTTTCAGTTATAATATTTGGCTCTTATGATTATGAAAACAAGAAAAACATTTCCTATTATAATTAATCACACATGGCACTGAAACCAGATAATAAGCTATGCTCTTTGTGGCCTTCAAGTATCACAGCACAACCTTGAATTTATTTCCTTTATTACTAAAGTTCTAACCACCCAATACATCAAAATTCTTAGAGGGAGTTTATGGAGCAATCCTGCCAAGGTCAGTGAGGAGATGTGAAGGTAGATGAACCCATTGGAGGGATGTAAACAGTGGAGAATTGCATACTAATATTTTCATTTATAAATTATCTCAAATTTAGAATGAGCAGTGCAATGGCCAAGTATGCCAATGGCACTAAATTATTTAGGGTGTTTAAAACCAAAAGGGATTGTGAGGCACTCCAAAAGGACCTCCTCGGACATCAGAATGGCAAATGCATTTTGACATAGGCAAATGTAATGTAATTCACATTGGCACAACAGATTCCCACGTCAAGTGTAAGCCAATAGGATCTGAGCTAGCAGTGGCTGACAAAGAAAAGGATCTTAAGGTTATGCTAAATAGCTTGATGAAAATGTTGACCTAGTGTATAGTTGCTGTGAAAAAGGCAAATTCCATGTCAGGCAAAATTATTATTATTCATTTCATTTCTGTACTTGCCAGTAGTGAGAGTTCTCTAGACAGTCTACAATAGTTCATAAAAACATTATAATAAGATACAATTAAATACCATCAAATCTTAGAAATAATACAAACATTGTAAACAAAAATTAAAAACATCTATAATTTACAATGAAGAATAGCCCTGTAAAAAAATCTGGAATGGGTAATCCCCTTAACCCCTTGTATATCCCACTATATCTTTAAAATTAGGAAAGGAATTTAAAAGTAAAATTGCCAATATCATACTGTGTTTATACAAATTTATGATGTGACTCCATTTAGATGATTGTCGCTGTGGTGACTGATCTGGATACCCCACTTAAAAAAGGATATTATACAGTTGGAAAGAGTGAAGTAAAAGACAAGTAAAATGATCAAGAGGTTGGAGCAACTTTCCTATGAGGAAAGTTTTAAACAGCTGAGATGGTTTAACCTAAAAAAGAGTGAGAACCATATGACATAAGAGAGGGAGGTACAGAATTATTTATGGTGTGGAGAGGGATGCATTTTTCTGTCTCCCTCCTCATGCTAGAACTGAGGGTCATCCCATGAAGCTGATGGGTGAGAGATTCAGGACAGATAAAAGGAAGCACTTCTTCAAATAGCACATCATTAAACTATGGAATTCACTTCAACAAGATGTGCTAATGGCTACCAATCAGAATGGCTTCAACGGGTGATTGAACCAATTCATGGAGACTGTGTGGTCTCCATGTATAGTCATGGTGGTCCTGTACTACCTCCAGTACACCTACGTATAGCAGTTGCTGGGGAATTTGGACAGGATGGTGCTGTTGCATTCTGTAGGAAGCCGGTTAGCCACTGTATGAACAAAATGCTGGGCTAGATGGACTCTTGCTTTGATCCTGCATGGCACTTCTTATGAGCCACCTCATCCAATATTCTGCTTGCCTCATGCCAGCATGGCAGAAAGGAGGAAGGAATGACATTTTCCTACCTATCTTATTTTTCCAGATTCCCCCCCTCCCTGCCATGTTTCTGTCATTGCAACCGATAGGAAGGAAATCGTTTATGCTAGCTCCAAAACTGACATACATTCCCCACCACGTTGAGACATGCCTTCCAGTCCTTTCCCTTTTTGCTTCTAATGACAGCAGAAAGGCACCCTTGAGGATTTCCAGAGGAACTGGAAAGGGGTATCTTGGTTTGGATCTCTTCCTTCAGACTGGATCTCTCTCCATCTCTCCTTGAAGGAGAAATCTAATCTGTCCTATCTTGGGATACCCTCCTAGGGACCATGGAATTGCAAACTTAACTGCTATTTTAATATATTGATGCTTTTAGGTCTTTGGTTACATTGATTAAGCTTTGTCTTAATTGCAAGATCTTTATTGGTTTGTTACCTGCATATATTTTAAAATGACATTTTGATAACTATTGTGTATATGTCCTGGGTGTATATCCATGTGTATATGGATTCAACTACTTTCACTGCAAGGCTGCTTAATAATGGAAGAGACATCCCTTTTTAATGCTGCACACTGCACTGAAATGCCCTGCTTCATTTACACTGGCAAATCTCTCTTATCAAACTGGAATCCAGTAGTCACATTAGCAATTTGGAAATTACTTTTCCTAAGGATACATTGAGTTTGAAGATGAATGTCTTCCATAGCATATAGGATGGGATACCTTTGGTGGGGACGAATACCTGTTCTTCACATGTACGTTGTCTCTTCATGTGAAGTGACTCAATAAAGTGGTCAGTTCAGTATATAACAACATTTTTTTTCTAATGCAATGTGGGGTTGCTGAATTGGTGTACTATTGAAAAAATCCAACTTCATATGGAAAGGGTGATGTTCCTCTGCTCTTTTTCATTGCTCAGAATGTAAACCGTATGAAGCAGATCTCTTCTGTAACAAATCAAGAGTTGAAGATCATGCAAGAAGATCTCACTTTCAAATCAAGTGAAATGCAGAAATCGCAGAGTACTGCAAAAAACCTGGATACAGGTAAGGCAGGCATAAATTGTGAAAGGTGTTTCTATTTAACATCTATGCCACCTTGGATTGCAAAAAAGTGGTAATAAAAATATTAGGAATAAAATGCAATTTAATAAATTCAGTAGACACCAGCAGTTAAAGATCATTGGTATCTTTACCTGTACACCTTTCCTTTGAACAAGTAATAAACATTTTACATTTGCAATTGTTTAGTTTAACATAAAGGCCTTCTGCAACCACTCATTTCCCACAAAACTGTTTCTGCCATAATCCATCCACCCCTTAAGGAATCAGTTATTTTTAACCCCAGCATAAATGTCCTTACCAAGAATGACCACAGTAGAAGGACTGTTAAGGAGGCTTGGGCAGAAAAGATTAATGTAGAAGACTACTGCCTTCATGTGGAGATTTTAGGAAAGGGAGGGAGAAGGAATGCTTAGAACTCTTTCTTGTCCAGGTGCGTGCCAAGAGCTCTGCAGATCTCTTAGAAGGAGAGAGTTCATGTGCACTGGTAATGCAGTGACCCCTTTCCAGTCCTTGAACATCACAAAGGATTTTAGTATAGCAGCCAGGAATTCACAGGGAACAAGATGGAAAAACAGACATTACACAAACCATTTTTATTTGACCATCTGTGTGCCAGATTCTGGCTTGTCCAACAAACCATGGTTAAAACAAATTATGTCAAAACATATCTAAATATCGTCCTTTTCTCAGTTCTTTTTATTGACTTTTATTTCTTTGTCATTATTTACTTCATTTAAATGTCATTATTTACTTCATTTTTTCTAAAATTATGCATGCTCAAAGCTTACTCAACAAATCGAATAATACAATGCTCAGATTTCTGGTAGAAGTTCATAGATCATGTACTAGAGGGCTGAATATCATATATTACTTTGCTTTTATATTCCCATCTGGTTTGGACATGTGCTTTGTCCCTATACTATATGAACAAAAACATCCCATTTTTATGTGTTCATTTTTTCCAAACTGCCTGGAACGAGTATAGTATCAGACAGTATAGTACAGCTGACTTCCCCTTCTCAACAAGCAGATTATCTGAAACATACATTTTCTTCCAGCCAGGAGCTGCTTTTAAGTCTTCCACAAACAAAAATGCCAAAGAGTGCTATAAGGCACATAGATTTTGCAGATTAAGTCTAAATGTGTAGTATGAGTTTCACCCATTTTCAAACATGATCCTTGTAGGATAATAGGCTGTTTTGCATACACTAACAGGTTCAGCACTATACCCATGTACTCTGTTAATGGAACATTTCTTGGGTTTGTTAAACCATAGTGTCCCATTCTTTATAAACTGGAAATCTGTGGTAATTCGTTCTTTATAAGACCTGTTCTGAACCAGGATCGGAGCCCAATTTCATACCCTTGTTTGTGAAACAAAGTGCAATTCAATGAGAAATCACTCCTTTGCAAAGAGGATAGGAATTATACATTTTATTTCAGTAAAGTACTTTTCTACTTTGTTCTGTACTTTTTCTCTTACATGTTAAGTCAGGAGATGAGTAACATCCAATGGTTGGGGGTGCATTCTCTCCTCCCAGAAACTACAGTGGGAGAGCAGCCGCCACCACACTTGATATCACTGCCAGAATTGTCGCCAAAATTACAGAAGACCCACCACCACCACCCCACAGAACTTTGTTTACAAGCAGAATCCTCCTCCCAGGATGCCCCCAGGAGCATAATTCTTCTTGTAAATAAGGCACATGCTTATAGCATACCTTGTTTTCTTCCATAATTGTGGCAGGGAATGTCTTTTAAGGAGAGGGAAGGGCACAAGGGGGAACACATAAAGCCCACAGAGTATGTGTTGCCTAGCCCTGCTGTCAGAGATTGTGGAAATAATTCATATGACTGAAATGATGAGCAGAAAGATATATGACAGTATGCTGCTTCATTTAATAGCTACTATCTGCTGTTCTCAGCCATGCTATGGCAATATTTTTCAGTGATGCTATGCTCTTCATACTGCAATTCCAATTGTGTGGATTTGTTTATTCGTGTAACATGGAATTCCATGTATTGGAAATTTTTCCTTGTGGTCTCTGTGCATCACCCAATTAGATAGAATAGCCAACAAGCTAGAAATTAAAGGATGTTTTAATAAAAGAAAACACAAATTATATATCTAAACTGTACCATCTGCTCATGTTCACAGAGAGATCCAACTGAAGCTTCCCAGTGGAGGGAAGGACTGGCATTTTTCTGTGATTCTGCCTTTCCTTTGCACCCCCAATGCCATTTTCTGTTCCAGAGGGTTCATGACACTGTTCCAAAAGGTTCCCTGACCCTACAGAAGAGTACAAGAGGTGGCACTTGGGGAAAAATCATAATTAGAAAATCATTATCCCACACATTTCATCCTATGCCAGTGAAACTGTGCTGAGTGCAAATCTGGATCCCACCCATTATCCCTTATACTCTTGAAATTGATTTTAAGAACACTTATTCGGAAGACATAATGGTGGGCTCTTATTTCTTATCCTGATTGTACTGTAGAGCCTAGTGACAGAGCTTGAACATAACTTCAAATTCTGTTCTGCAACCACAAAGGGTTTTTAATAGTCTAACACAGTCACAGGACAAAGTTGAATCAATGCACTATCTTGCAGTAAGTACATACAATCAAATGAATATTATGGACACAATCCAGACCCCTTATGCTTCTGTGCATGAAGAATGAGGTTTAGCAGCCTCCATGCATGCAAATAAGCCTCAAAGACTTTAAATCAAGAATGGGCAACTTGAAAAACAATTAGGAAAACAATTAAATCTTTCAATATTACATTGCTGAAAACTATTTCTATAATGGTGAGGCCTTCTTGAAACTGCATTATACATTGACCCAGTGAGCTATGCAGAAGGGTCATTCACTTTCAAATAAGAAATATGACAGAAAAGTTCTTCGAGACCACAAGCTCACTCTTTGGATAAAAGATCATTCCACAGAAGTCTCTCCTTCCCTCCCCAAAGGAAACTTCTGTGAGTAAACACATTTGCTGATGGCAGCATTTCCCACTAACATTTCCCTGGGTCAAAGCACAAAGCAGTTTTGTCTCAGAATTTGCTACTGTGTACACATTGCTTGCTGAAATCTGTGACTTAGTGGCATATCAGAAGGAACTGGACTGCATCCTCTTCCTGTCTCTTCCCAGAGAGAAGGGTTGTTACTTTTTTTCCTTTTCTTTTCCTTTTTTTTCACTCTGGGATGGTAGTTGGGCACAGAAAATCTTTACCTTCTCTAGATAGTAAAAGAAGGGAAGCTGCATTACTCCAAGTTAGACTATCTACTTCAATGTTACCTATTTTAACTGGCAGAAGCCATCCAAAATTTCAGACAGGGGTTTTGCCCATCCCTCTCTGGAAATTTCGGGGATTAACCCTGGAGCATTCTACATGCAAAGGATATACTTTACTACTGAGCTTTCACCCCTTCTTTCTTTACATTGTTGTCTCCAAGCTTTGGGATGCCCTCGGACAAGATGCTCTTGAAGAGTCCTTTCCTTCAGCTGGCACAACTTCTCCCCACTGCAGTCCCTGCGGCCCATTTACTTGTCTTCTCTCCATATAGCTGTCCAGACGGAGAAAGAATGACAAGTGGAGAATAGTTCTTTATCACCCCTACCCTGCACTGTCACATTTCTTAAGAAGCAACAGGTGAACAAGCCATGGTAGTGAAGAGGAGTGGAATCAGGGCCTGAGGGCTCCACACAGAGGAATTCTTGCTAGGCTGTAGGATGTTGCAGGTGCCCAACAACATTGCCTTTGCCTCCATGACCCTTCTCTCAAAATTGTTTGTTTGTTTAATAAACTGTTCCTATAGCCCTATTAGTGCTCTCTGTACATTTCCATTAAAACCAACCATATAATAAAACACAGCATAAAACAGTACATGACAACAATGTAACAAGGTATAGCAGCTTAAAACATCAGTTTTTCAGATGTGTTATATGTGTTATATTGTGTTATATTTTTCATGATAAGAGCTGCTATAATTATTGAAGCGACCCATTTCCAGTCTCTGTTCTGCTTGTGTCTTGGTCATGACATGGATTTTTCAACATTCAGTGAGTTAAAGTACATAAACTATGAAGATCTTTCTTCATCCATCACCCTCTTGGCTTTTACCCTGTACTTGGCAGTATAAAGCAGAGGCCAAGTCCAAAGGCTGCCTTTGAGCCAGGAATTAAGCATGATCAAATATTGTCACAATTAAACATGAAACATCACTAGTTCTCCCAACAACTGAAACCACTTAGTGACAGTTCTACCAGTTAACCTATTAGGCCAGCCATCCTGCTGCTCTGTCTAAGAGCCAGTTGCAGGCCTTATTATCTACATGGGACTGCAACAGGCTGCTGTTGCTGAGAAATGCTTCCTTCAGTGAATCTGTTCAGAGATTCCTCTGTGACAACTATACCGGATAGCCATAATTACAGTTATGGACACAGCCATTTTCACTCAAAAATCCATTATATCAATGAAGAAAAATTCAAACACTTCTCTCTTACCCACCCCCCCCAAATGTTTATGGTGTATTGCATCTGCCTACAAAGAGTCAGCAGTCATTCATAACATTCCAGGGCATTGTAATCAGATACAACAAAATCTCTTTTGAGGAAAATAAGCCTGATCTACATTTTGTAAACAAAGTTCTCATGCAGGGAAGTAGCATGTATTAAATACTTTGTGAAACCAGCTCAAAATAGAAAAAGACCGGTTCTCCAGCCATATAATCCAAGTTGTTAAAATCTATCAAAACTAAGACCCATTCTGTATCATGAGTATATTATGCAAGACATGTTTCCTACTTCATTTCCCCTGCTCCTTGCCACTTTCAAATTTCAGTATCCCACAAATACATGTGAGCTACATTTATGAAATAACTTTCCAAAGAGCAAGAGACAGCACTCTGGGGGAAACTAAGTGGAGTTTGTAATAACAATTTACTGTAATACCCACTATTGTGGACAGCAGGCAATTTAAAATGGGGCTGCACTTTTTATTTGCTTATTCCTCCTTTCCTGAAGGCTTAGGCCAACTAACAATATGTTAATTGCAACACTCAAGATAATGAACCAAATGTCTCCAAAGGAAACCATGGATCTATTTTGTCCAGATCTAGAACAAAATCCCCAGGATTCACTAGAGAAAAGAATTCCTTGTTACTACAGTTCTATGCAGTTTTTTAATCTAACATTGTGGCAGGAAGGTGCAGAAATATGCCTCCAACATGCTTACCTAATGGTTAGGCATGACTTTTGCATAGAGGCTATGCTTGAACCTTGTTTTGATGGTGTATAAATTATGTGATTCAAGCTTAGAAACATTGTGGTTTGTATATGTAGACCGGTTGGTAAACCTGGTATTCACAATTATGGGAGTGCTTCTGACTTAAATTCACAAACAAGACCATGCATAGGAGAAAATGAATGATATTTTTGTTCCAGATTGCCAGCATAACTGATGCAGATCCTAGATAACATATCCATCGAAACTGATGGCATAGAGCAGCCTTCCCCAGCCTGGTGGCCTTCAGAGACATTTGGACCACAGCTTCCAGAATTCCCAACCAGCAGGGCCATTGACTACGAATTTTGGATGTTGCAGTCCAAACATGTCTGGAAAGCATAAGGTTGGGGACAGTTCCTGACAGTTCCTTCCTAGGATATGGAAGGGGCTTCCACAGGAGATAGCTGAAGCCCCAACAGTGAGGGTGTTTAAGAATAGGCTGGATATGCACATGGTAGGCATGTCAGGAGCAGAGCCGGCTGTCAGATTAGATGGCCCAAAGCTGAGTGGCCACATCCATAGCCTTGCAAACTAGACAACCACAACTGTTGCTGCAATAAGTTCCAGGAGCCGTTGCACCCAACTTACTGTCACAGGGTGGTTAATTTCTTGGTTTTCTCACATTGGCTTCTTAGAGGTATACATAACCTGATCCGGTCTGTTCATTCCTTTGTCCCACAATGGAGCTTGTTGGTGGTCCTGCGGGCTCTTAAGAAGTCTCCTTTCAAGCCTTTACCCACTGTGGAACTACACTTTCTCTCACGGAACGTTGCTTTTCTGGTGGTAATCACTTTGTCCAGGCAGGCAAGCCAACATTGTGCTTTGAATATTGATCCACTGTTCCTCATTTTTCATAAGGACAAAGCAATTCTGCAACCCTACTGTACATTCCTTCTGAAGGTCGTGTTGTGGTTCCATCTGAACCAGGACATTGTACTTCCAGTGTTCTGCCAGTGGTGGAATCAGTGCTGCATTCCCTGAACATGTGCAGGATTGCTGACATTCTATTGGTCCATACCAAATCCTTCTGCTGGTCCCAGAGATTTGTCATTGCTTACAGCACACACAGTGTGCCGAGCCTAACAGTCCTCAACAACTCATTCACTGGATCGTAAAGACCATCAAACTGGCCTACCTGGTCTAATCCATCAACTTTCATCCAGCACTCCCCACTTGATGTCCATGCCAAGCAAGATTGCTCCTTTGGCCAACTGGTCCTCTTGGTGGTCCAGTGCTGATCACGCTGCCCCTCCTCCTCTTCAAGGTAAGCTCACTAGTCACCCTTATCCATGATGCACAGAGACCGTGAAGAAGAAAGTAGTGTCGCTTACCTGTAAATGACGTTCTTCAAGTGGTCATCTGTGCATTTACACAACTCACCCACCGGTCCTGCATCGGTGTCGATAGCTTTGGTTCCTATACCATCTTCCCTTTGGGCTCATTCCAGGATGTTGCCAGTCAGGCTGTTACCAGCCTACCTCCCCATTTCTGAGGCCAAAACATCCGTCTCATGCGAACTGGGGAAAACAGCAGGAGCCCCTCCTATATATACAGTACCAGGGGAAGGGAGGGTGGGGCTCCTACCAGAATGGATTTAGCTGAGAAAATCTTCCCAGCAACAGGCACTGCACAAATGGAGAGCCCATATATGTGAATGCACAGGTGACCACTCGAAGAAAGTCAGTTACAGGTATGTTACCTTACTTTCATCAGATAATACTTATTTGAATGTAAAAGATAAAAAAATGTATATAAGAGCTTTACTGAAACAAGGCCAAGTCAAGTAAATCAAGCAGGAGTTGATTATCCCCTTGAATAAGTAAATTTTATTAGTCGGTTTTCTCTGTGCTTGAGAGTAGACTCCACCATATGTCAGTAATAATTATGAGATGTTTGCCTTCGTTATAGATAGTCAGCGTTTGCAGATGGACCTCCAGAAGATGGGCCTATTAGAAGGCAAGATGATTGATGAACTCAGTTCTCTCAAAGAAAAAATTGAACAAATGACCAAGGACTTGGAATTGTTCAATAATCTTCCAGCTCTGAAAGCAGCAGGGGAAGAAAAGAAAAAAGTAAGTTATCAGTCAAAACCACTTGCTATATTCAATCGTGTTTACTTCCAAATAAATATGTTTGGGATGGGGAACAGAATATTCTTTTGTTCCCCACCCTCACCAAAAACCTGCTGCTCCTTTGGAGCTTATTTTGATGGGGTTTCACATTCACATTACTAGAGCAGGGCCTTGGTTATCAAAGTTTATTATTGTTTTCTTGAATATTTCTATAGCAGTTCCATTTTTCTGCCACTGTATCTTGGTCATAACACTGGATGAATGTAGAAGGTGCTTTATAATCTGTGTTTTTCTTTGTCTTAAACAAAATTTTCATGGGAAAAGGAAATATCTATGAAAGAGATGTAGAAAAGAAAATTATACAGAACACTACATTTATAAGCATGGACTAGAGAACAATATTATAGCAAGAAAGAATACATTTTGCACAATGTAAAGAGAGAACTATTCATATAAAAAATGAGTTTTTCTTTCTAAAGATAAAAAGAAGCCAGTATGTCTGAGACTAAATATTTCTCATTTTCAATTTCTCAAAGATAAACCACCTTCAAAATTAAAAGTCTAGTCACTTCAGACATATCATTAGGAAGAATGATTCAGTTCAAATATGTGAGCCATCCACTTTTTCTGCATAATCTTTCAATGTACAGAGTCATATACCCTTATGGAAATACTTAGTTTTCCTTCCTTGAATTTTGCAAAATAAAAAGGCTCGGTATTTTTAAGTTCAGTGTCACCTAATCTTTGTATTTTTCCCTTATATAAAGAAACTGCAAGAAGAGAAAGAAACATTAACAAAGCGCAGGGATACTTTCAAGAAAATTATGGAACAACTAAACAGAGAATATGAAGACCTGAAGTTGCAGCTTCAGGAGAATGAGACACATTCGCAGGTACAGTTAAAAATACTTTTTGCTTTCAGGTATTGCCTATATCCAACTTTTAAGAGTTCTGAAGACTTGTAAAAGTATATGTATATGCATATAGAGTACTTTTAGTATTGCTTCAAAGCCGGTTTGGTGAAGTCTTTGAAATGCGGAACATCAAATTTATTTCCAAAGCTACCTGTGGTAGAAAAGAAGGAAAAATACTAAGTTTGGATTTACTCATGGAATTCTTCCAGGTATAGACTCAAAAACTGCAATACTATTATTATTGTGACATAAAATATTTAGTGATACCATTGGGGTAATTGAGATGATTCTGGATAAACTTGTCTGCATTGAAGCCAGAATATTTTCTGCTACATTTGAAACAGGGTTGCGAAAGTGAACATGAACATTTGTAGAGCCTCTATATTAGCTTCTACAATACTAACCATGCCAATTTTGTGCAACCTCAAACAAGTCTAATTAATCTACGGACCTCTTAAGTTTATCCAATCCTGCCAAGCTATTAATGGAATAAGACATTTGTCCTTGAGCTTCCTCTGCAAAGAAAATAACTGTTGTGTGGGAGATAAACCTCCTTCCTTGAGGGCCACAGTCCAGATCAATTTTGAATTTGGCAGAATTAGAAATATTTGGTTCCAATTTGTTGTGTTTTGTTTTTGCTATATTGAAGATAGAAAAGTAGGAGTTATCAGTCTGCTTCAGCTGTAACCAGAACAGGAACTGTACCTATTCATTCCAAATTAAGTCTAATTAGTAGGTAGTGCTTAGAGATTTTTTTTTGTTTGGATATCACCAAAAACTCTGGTTTATCATATGAAGAAGTACTAAGTTAAGGTGCATAAGGAAGGGACAGTGGGAGGAGGGAATAACCAAGCAAGCAGTTCCCTTCCCAGTTCCCTTGTCTGAACCTGACCATAGACGACTAGGGAGAAATAAGAGTATAAATCAGGTGGATAAAGGTATGGGTAGTCCAGAATGGAAATGTTCCTTCCTTCTCAGGTAAGTCTTGATCAGTGACTCTGTTCATAAAAAATGGTTCTGTTGAAACAGAAGTTTCTTTACGTTTCTTGCCAAGGAATGCTCCATACACAGAGATGGTGGGTTCACATGACATGACAGCCCATTGTAGGTAACTATCCATTGTGGACTGGCATTTCAACTGAACATGGACTGCATCCTACAGGGTGGAATTTTTATGGGCTACAAGCCCCCTTGACAACCCATAGCCTGTAGTAGGTGTCAGTGTACCCATAATGTGTTACATCCTCCAAACTGAGGAAACATCATGGGTACAGGGAAGTAGAGAGAGAGCCAAAACCCCTTGCCACTCTTACCAAGCTTGTCCAGGCTACACTGCCAAGTGCCCAAATTTCACTTTGCAACAGCCTACACTGGGTCAGTTTCTCAGCTGCACCTACAACCTATTTTATGGTTGCTGCAGTTTATTTCCCAATTGTTCCCCAAGAGATTGATTTTCATGATCCCTAACATTACAACCAGTTGCAGTCCCTCTCAAGTATCCAATCAGCACAGTGCTTGTCATTGGGTCCCCACCAATTTATTTATATATTTATTGCTCCCAAGACTGAGCAAATGTTTTAGGTATATTTTTTATTATGGCTACTATTTTTTCAGAGCTGCAGAGATGCACAATACTGACTAGCCAAAGCTGGACAGGTGTGCTTCATCAATGTCATGGACAGTATACAGGAGACACCAACCAGAGGATTGACGTATCAGGGTTAGTTTGTTGCTTTGCTTCTCATTTAACAGCTGTCAAGCAACAAGCTCAACTGAGAAGCAAAGTGGTGAGAGGATTCTTTGCTGGCAAAAGGGGGTGATGTGTATATCACCTCATCCCAGACAGGATCCTCTACTTTTTGTTTGGACAACTGTTCTCAGCATCTTCCAGTTTTTGTATCATTTCTTGAGATTCAAGGTGCTTTGGAAAGTGGAAAAGTGTGAGAGTATTTATAGGAGTATTCAGTTTTAACAGCTTTCAAAACTCAAGCTTGCTTTGAAAATTGGTGACGGGGATTGGTAGGGTTAATCAAAGGGGTTTTATCAGGGAAATATGCAGCCACGGAATCTGCCTATGTCCCTGTCAAAAATTCTGTTTTAAAAGGCAGTCTGAGTTTTGAGAGTGAAAGGGCCCATGTCAGCTGCACAGGATGGAGATCATGTTGGTCAATTTGTGTGTTAGTTGAACTGCTAACAGCAGTGCAAGGCAGCAGTCAGTCCAGCTGTCTTGACAGCCAGCTGAAGCACTGCCTATGCTGCTGTTCTCCTCAAAGTGCTTGAGGGCATTAATCTTATTTGCGTAATGGGGACAAAGCACCAGCCACAGCAAGCCAAAACTGGCTCATGCTTATGACTGTCAGACAGAGAAGACTTGTTCCTCCCCACTGTGTTCCTTGGGATACCACCTGGAAGAATAAGGGATAAGAGGTGAGGGAGAGTGAACTATTCACAATGATCCTGATTGTTGGGCTCATTGTGAGCATTTGCGGTAAGCGTGCTTTGGGGTTCCCAATCAACCATTGTGTTCAGTCTCCACAATGGAATGCCATTACTTGCAAACCTGCCCCTTCTAAAGCTTATTTACAGCATGGATCATTGTACAAATGTAGGCAGTGTCATCTCAGCAAAGTGAACACAAAGCAGTGGAGGACAGCTATTCTGTTCTTTTTTTTCCACACTGCTTCATTTTTTCTATTTAATCATTTTCATGTTTTTAAGAAAGCTATTTTGAACGATTCTTTGCAAAAAGCCTTCATGTCCTGACACAAAAACATTAAATACTAGCACAGACATTGAACACAAGCAAGCAAACTGATACTTTAAAAGCTATAGCCATCAATATAATATGCACATTACTTTCCTGGTAATGTTGAAAGTTTTGTTGAAGTCTTAATATTTAAGCTGCTTGCTTACAATCTTCTCAGTGCAGTCTTGCTCTTATCAGAGCTTCAGAAATCAGACAGGAAACTCAGCTTTGGAAATGAGGAAGTTTTTTCTTTATAGTTAAGACCCCAATATAGTGTCAAGCTATATTGTGTGATAAGCCTTATGTAAACAATTATTAAACAAAAGAAACAGAGATAATGAGAATTCAGTATCTTAATAAATCAGAGTCTTCACAGTTGTTGCAATTTAAGCCAGTAGTCTCAGTAGTTTACACTCATTGCAGCAATTTTGATACTTTATAGTTCTAAACATTACATGTACTTTGGCAATTCTTGTTGAATGATTTAATTTCTACACTGTTTAATATTTATTATTTTATTTTATTAAGCTGTATATACCACCTTTTGTTGAAAAGCCATCAAGAGGCATACAAACAATTAAAAACAAACACATGATAAAAACCAACAAGACTATTAAAACATTAAGGCTGTAATCCTATATGTGCACTCATCCAAAACATATTCCTCATTAAATTCAGTGGGACTTATTTCTAAGTAAATTTGTATACTCGGAATTGTAGTGTAAAGTGTTAAAATAACCATGTAATTACCACTGTTTTGAGCTCACCTTTCTTCTGTTGAAATCAGTGGACAGTTTTGCTTGAAAGTGCAAGCAACCTTACACACAGCAATTACATGCCACCTCATTTCTGCAACTGCCTACACCACAGTGGGTTGCTGTTAGAACCTGGTGGTGGTTTCCAAACAACCTCAGAACCTAAAATAAGCCATGACTTGTGAAATGGTTTGGAAACCTCTGCTACTGCTCACCTCCCTAGGTTAAGACAGCATGGCAACCCACAGAGTGGAGGCAGCTATGGAAATGAAGCAGCATGAGTGGGAGAGGGTAGAGAAATCATTGTGGCTTCTTCCCCATGCGATCCCTGTCAATTTGACTTAATATATGTTCTCATAAGTAAGTCCCCAGCATACTAAAAAGCAGAGACATCACCCTGCCGACAAAAGTGTGTATAGTGAAGGCTATGGTTTTCCCAGTTGCAATGTATGGCTGTGAAAGTTGGACCATAAGGAAGGCTGAGCACCGAAGAATTGAGGCCTTTGAATTGTGGTGCTGGAGGAGACTCCTGCGAGTACCTTGGACTGCAAGGCAATCAAACCAGTCAGTTCTAGAGGAGATCAACCCTGACTGCTCTTCAGAAGGCCAGATACTGAAGATGAAACTCAAATACTGTGGCCACCTAATGAGAAGGAAGGACTCACTGGAGACGAGTCTAATGCTGGGAACAAGTGATGGCAAATGAAAAGGGATGGCAGAGGATGAGGTGGCTGGATGGAGTCACTGAAGCAGTCAGTGTGAGCTTAAGTGGACTCCGGGGGATGGTGGAGAACAGGAAGGCCTAGAGGAATGTTGTCCATCTGGTCCTGATGGGTCGACTTCGTGACTAACAACAGCAACAAAATAATAAGCCCCATTGAATTCAATCAGACCTACTCAGAGGTAAGGGTGTACAAGATTGCTGCCTAAACCTGCTTAGCTGCTACTTGGATTGTGTCTACTTGATAGACACCAACTTACTTAAAATGTAAATATTTTTATTACATAAGCAGGAGTGTGGGTGTTTCATTCTCACTCTTTTTTTCTTTTTACACTTTCAGCTAACAAATTTGGAAAGGAAGTGGCAACACCATGAACAAAATAATTTTGTCATGAAAGAATGTATCCTTTTTCTTTTAATAAAAGGAGAAAAAAACTGAAAATATCCACAGTAATTTTTTATAAGGATTTTACCTGGAAAGGTAGCTAAAAGGATACAGGTAAAGATTGTCTCCAGTAGATCACTTTAAAAGCTTATATCGTCTTGGCTGACCATCTCAGATAAAAGTTTGCTTGTCTGCTGATATTTGCACGGTTTAGCATTTAGTATTTTATTTTATTAAGTTGCGTATGCCACTTTTTGCTGAAAAGTCATCAAGTGGGTGCACAACAATTAAAAATAAACACATAGCACTGAAAATACTGGTGTGAACTTTGAGTGGCATAATTCAGTCTGTTTAGCCATTTTCAAACATCTCAAGGTAGTATTAACAATTCCTGCAGAAGCTACAGTCTGTATTAAGCCTCATTGGATTTTTATTTCAAAATGGGATTCGGTGATTAGTTATTTCAGATAAAGGTATGGGCATGAATCCAACAATTTTCAATAAGTAAACACTTAAAATTTCTGCCACTGCAATTGTGATTTGGCTCATACTCTTTCTCAGCACTCCTATCTCAAAGCAGTGTGCCTAAAAGTGCTGTAACACTGTGTGCTATCTCACATATTGTTGGTTGCCATTACATCTGAAGAAATTACTTGGGGGGGGTGGCATTTTATTCAAATATTATTGTACTTGTTTAGGAGACAAAAATGGCTGTTAAAATACCATACTTCAGAAAATTAGGTATCTTGTTTAATACATTACATGAGACAGCTGACAAGAGGGTCCCCATAATCCTTGGATGGCATCCTTAAACTGCAAACCTGTACATATTTCATTGAGAGTAAACCCCACTGAACTCAGGTATACTTCTGAATATACATTTATAGGTGTTCACCTTTAGTTGAAATATAATCAGTGGATTTTACCCTCTCATTAGCAATAAATTCAAAACCCACACCGATGACCAAATTGCCCTAGAGTAAGGCTTCTCCCTTGAACACCTCTGTTATCCTGTGAAGTGGTAAGAGGAAAGGTGCAAAGGAGTAGTAACGGTTTCATCAGTATGATTTCTCTTGAGTTATTTTCTTATGGTTATTTTCTTATCTGTAACTTGGATGTAATTAAAAAAAAAAAAAAACAGTTTCCTTAACTTCTATTATCAGTTATAGCAACAAAAAGCCAGGAGAGTGATTACCGACCAATAAGGAAGAATGTGACTAAGCAGATAGCAGAATACAACAAAACTCTCATCGAAGCTATACAGAATAGCAGAAACTGAATCCAGATGCTTCTTTTATAAATCAGTGGACCAGTGAGAGGACCTTTCTGCTATACAATTCATTAATATTTTCAAGATGCTGATTGAAAATTGTACAAGTAAACCGAAGTAGATAGTAGCATTTTGTGTGTGCCTACTTCATACCTGTTAGTTAACAAAAAACAGAAACGTTTGTTTATTCAATATGAATTTTCTTGAGTGCAAGCTTGAATGCTGAGATGATTATTTGTTGAAGATACCATTCACTTTTGATCTTGCTAATAATGCACATAATTACATTTAAATCATTTTGAAATGCAGCTATTGATGATATTGATTAATATCCTTTCTCATGTGAAGAGTTTAGCAAATTAAACAGTAGAAATAGTTATATTGATACATATGCTACTGGTAATTTATTTTATTGTATTAGAATTCTAAAGCAGGATTCAGGCAGAGCTGAATTGTAGGTACAATATCAATACAAGGTAATAAAATAACTCAGAGGAAAATTTTCCAGCAGTATAATTTTTCAAAGATTATTATGCAGCCCCCTTGACCTTGGAAGTGACCTACTCATGCGTAACTGCCTTCCTGGCAAGAAAAGGCTGTCCATTAGCTAAGTCATGAGCAAGTCAAAAATGGCAGTAATTGGTATGGCTGGAGAATAAGGCAATGGAGAAAAAATGGGGCAAGTAGCTGATTCCTTTTGGCCAATGCTAAAGAAGCCCAAAATTGACCCTCTGTTCCACTATAATATCCTGCTTCATGTTTCTTTCTTTTTTAACACAGAAGGTAAGCAGCATAGTATTTTCTAATGGGAGTAGAGCAGTTGAAGACAAAAAACTAGAGTTTGTTATAGCAGACTGATTACCCTAAAATTGGAGATACATGATCAAGTTTAATACCAAAGAAAATCAGACTATTTGGAACTATACTCCTGGTGGGTATTGACAGTAATATAATTTTAGGAAAGTAATGGCATAGATAAGTCAGGACTGTATGCAGTCTGTCAAAAACAAAAATAAAATCCAGAGCAGAATCCTCTTAGTGTGTTAGGAAGAAAGAAAAAAAAATTGTGGCACCCTTACAAGTCTAATCAATTGATCAGAGCACAGTTTTTTGTGGATTGGAGTCCACACCCTCAGATACATAGAGCCTTATTCAGTTGTTATTAAAGCATAGTGTTTAAACATGCAAAGAGGCGGGAACACACTTGGCCCACCCCCATTGATGTTGCTGCATTCACACTGAACACATGAGGGCAACTTTGTAAAGAGGAGAAGCTCTTCACACATTCTAGAAAGATGAATGGTCAGGGTGGAGATGGAGTATTGTTCCGAGCTGATAAAAGCATGGTGTTGCACAGACAAGAGAGTCCAAGATCTTTAAAACAACATCTGGAAGACTATTCCGAGAATAGCATACCACCAGAGGAGTAAATTATTCACCCAGTGCCAAGTCAGTGATGTCATTTTGCCACTCATCCATTGCTCACTGATTCTCCCCAGCCCACCTAAGCTTAAACAGAGCTCTACACATGAACAGAGCTCTACAAATGGCAGCAGCTCCAGGTGTCTTATAACATCTAGTTCCGCTCTTGGTCAACTTGAACGGAACTCAAAAAAAACAGCTTATAAAAAGGCCAAATGTATATGCTACTCCACTACAGAATTGCCAATTTCCTGCTTCAAATCAGTAAGTTTCTTGCATTTTGTTTTCATATTACAGCATCCAGATAAGACAAAATGGTATTCCTGCAGGCCAAATCTATTATCTAGGGGAAATTTGCACAAATATCTCTTCCTTCCTTTTGGGAAGAGCTTTCAGCTATTTCAGTGAGAGTCCCTTCAAAAAAGAAAGGAATGGATAAAGCTGGTGTCTAATATCCTCACAGGAATTTTTTGTTAGTCACTTGGTTTGCTCTCTAAAAATCCCTTCATGCTAAAATAACACGTTTTGAAGACTGGAAAGAAGCCACACACTGAATAAACACAATGAATGAAGCTCTTTGCATGGGCTCCCTTATAATGGCATGGCACAGATTTTGCAAAATAGCATGGGAAAGTTCACGAGCCTCTGTTCTGTCCACAGAACTTCTTCCATAAACAAACCTTGCCTAGAGTTACATGCTTTTCTTTTCCATAAAAATGTTCTCATTGCTTATAGGTTCTCCTTACCTGTATTATAGATCTAACAGGTACCATTTTTGATTAGTGAATTCACTGTAGAGTTGATGAAAATGAAATGTAATATGGAATTACTGTTGATGCAAGGGGAAAAGGGAAAAGATATCTTCTGCATCAGTGGTAGACAGTCTTTTCATACTCAAGTGCTATATACCCTTGTGGGTAATCTATGAGGGCTGCCTGTCTGTGGTGCATAGGGCTGAAGTCAGTAGTGGGCACAGCCAGAATCAGAAGTTCTGTAGCCCCCTTCTTTTTCTTCTCTCCCCCTGCTAGCCCCTTTTCTCTAGCTCCCACAATCTTTCTCATGCAGCAGGAAGGGGTCATGGCTAGTTCAAACAGGCTATGAAGGGCAAGGGTCAAGAAAAGCATGTGGCGATGCAAAAATCTGTCCACATCCCTAGGCTTCAAAAGCGGAAATTGATCCCATAAAACAGGACAACTTAGTGCACAAGACACCTCAAGAGACGCTCCATCCATAGAGAGGTTCAAGTTAGCATAAAAGTGAGCAATTTTATCCTTGAAATATCTTACAAACTCATCACAGCAGGCCTCAGAGTGTCTCATTGTTGGGTTCACAGTGAAAGCAACCCCCGAACTTCTCAGAAGAGCTCAGCTGCATGCTTACTCAAGGAAGTGATGGACACAAGTATACCCTCTCACATTTGCTTCACAAGTCTTACACCAGTTGTGCTCCAGTTGTCTTCTGACTGTTTTCCTTGTTTAGAGTTCACCAGTAAGCCAGGGAATTTGCCCAGCTCCACAATGCTAAAGAACAATTGTGTCAGTGACCCATCATACCTCACCATTCCAAGGTCCACTGAAGATTGACTGGCCCTGTCTATTGAAAAATTCCCCAGAGGATCCAGGATTTGATCAATCTCTGAGGGACAAGCCATTTTAAAGGGTCCCCACCTCTGCCAAAAGGACGGCCACCATGAGACCAAATTTCACCAGAAAGTAGTTTGACAATGACAAAGAAGATAATTTCCTCATACACTCCATAGCTAGACCACCCTATCCTACCCAGAGGTGAAGGACAAACCAAAGGTATCTTCTACCCTGTGTGTTGAGCTAGTGACAGATAGAGACCCTTGCAGTAGATGCTCATAGAAATGGCCTCTTTAAAGGGGAGATAGCACAAGGCTGTTCCATTTTCAAGATTTCATTTTTCAAAACCTTGCCATGCTTTGTGTTCCGTCAAGTGTTTGATGACTCGCACTATCTTTTGCAGTCTCTACCAGGCAGGTCTGTTGAACCACCCCTATGCCACAACTCCTGGTGAGGAGGTTGTGCTCAAATTGGTGGCTCGGGTTGTATCAGTATGACTACAGTATGCATTTCTAGACACTGTTTCTCAAATGGTGCTATTGTGGCTGAACATGACCACTCAGAGCCACATCTATGGTGGCAGCCGATTGCCCGCCCAGTGTTCTGTCCTTGCAGCCTAGCTTGTGATGGACACTATTGTGCAGAGAGGAGACATCCCATCTTGAACATTTGTCCGTGGCTCTTTCCAAATGAAGGTCTATTTGCAAATGCTTAGGTAGATGCTAAATTATTGCTGAAAAGGACAAGAAAACATATGGGACAGAGTCTCATCACTAGAAAGATAGGTAGGCAAGATGGGCTTGGAAAAGTTCAGCAATCAAGTTCCTGGTACATATATATAGAACTGAAAGCCGGAAAAAAAAGGCAAGAGACTAAAACATTTCCAGGTTGAGGAGAAAATGGGCCAGTATCAAATGCTTCCACTGAACCTCTACTGTTTGTGTTGTACCTGTAAGATGTACCACCAGTGAAACAGAAAGCTAGTGCTTCCTAGAAGAACCCCAAAATGTGTCAAAATACTAGTTTCCAAATCTGGACACATCATTGAATCTTTTTATGCAAACACCACTGGCCCATTCCAGAAACTAGCATTTTGGCTTGTGCCCACAAGCTTCCTGTTATGCTGGCAGTGGGTCTCACTGCGTTTTTCCTCATTTTTCTGGGGAAAATAGGAGAGGGGTGATTTTTTTTCTTGAGTTTCCCCCCATTTTCCTGGGCTTTTTCAATGCCATCATTTCTCTGTGTCTAAAGATTAGTGAAGGTGGTCTTCCACTGAGGCATTTCATGAGTAGGTAGGTAAAGCTGATTATCATTTTTATGATCCTCTATGAACTTGAATCTCATTGTCATGGTTTGCTATTTTTTCTAGTCCTGCCATATGACCTCAAAATGCCAATTGCTCTCCAAATCCATTGCCTCCGAGTATCTTAAAAGAAGCCATGCTGGATTTACTGAACTTTGAGTCAATGTCACTGCATACACTGAAGAACCTTAATATGTCTGTGACAAATGAACACCCCCCATGCACATATATTGCACATCCACATACCCATTATATTAGTAATCCTCTCCAAAGGATACTTCTTCCAGGATTAACATTTCTGAGAAGGTCAATGTGGGGCAGGCCCATCAGTAATCTATCAGTTCACCATGTGCATGCAGATATGATGTATAGGTGGGGCAGACATACAACGGAAATCATAAAATCAGTCTTGAAATTGGGCACATCATAAGAACTTTATGTGCCAAAAAATCATTGTGTACAGAGTATCCATTCCAGCAAGAACAATGTTGAGATATTCATTAAGGAAGTGCCAGGAGAACAGAAATGAACCGTTTCCAAGCCAAACACTCCTTATTCAACAAGAGCGAGTGAGCAAGAGAAGACTGAGATAGGAATGAAGATTTATTTTGCTGTTTTGCAGAGCTTGAAATTCAACAGAATCAAAAACGCATTCTTTTGACTGTAAAATATGAAATGCCTGAATTTTCTGAAAGCATGATTTGGAGTCCCTTACCTTACCCAGCCTTTGCATAGTACTATATATCATCTTCCCTCCATTATGCAAGTGAAGTATAAGCCAGATGCTCTTTATCAATGTTAGCTATGTAAGCTTCATTTATACAAATCCCTTACCTCCCTAACGAGGCAATGCCTTTCCCCCACTCCAAAAAAATATATAAAAATCAGGGATAAGATACTTGTAGCTGTCCAGATCTTTAAGCCTACAACACCCCTCAGCCTTATTCAGCATGGACAATGGTGAAAGCTGTCAGCCAAAAAACATATGGGAGACTGCAATTTGCCCAGGTCTGCATTGCCTTCTTTGGATGGTGAATTAATACATCACATTAAGTCTTGCTGTGGCTTGGTAATCAGGC